TAATGTTTATCTGATGTTTTTAGTAAAAAATACAGTATGTACATATTATATTTTTTATAAATAATGTACTCGTCTGCACTAACACTACTTGTTGGCAGATGATAAGGATGAGAATTAACTCGGATCATCACATTGTGGTGGATTTAATAACAGTCCATACATAAAAAATATAAAAAATATTTTTGTCTTTTCCTGTCTTTCTGTTTGTTCTTGCTAATCTCTGAAATGGCTGTACCGATTTTGACGGGACTTTCACTTGCAAATAGGTAATGTTATAACGAGTAACTTATTTCTACTAATATTCACTATCTACTTTCATTTTAGAAATTATATTTATATTATTACAAAAACGTTAAATTCCAGGCGTACATACTCACAGGTGAGCTCGTAATATATTATATTACATTTATTTGATATTTGACTATTGGAAACTTTAGAGAATACAAATGTACTTAACACGTCTAGGTGTTAGATAAAATACCTACACTTCATAGTAATAAGAACTAGGTACTTCACATTTTGTTAGATTACTAATTAACAATAAAAGGAATTTCAGGCGTTTCATATAACGTTGAGACTGGTATTAAATTCCTTTTGTATTCGTCGGTCGGCGAATTACTAGTATAGTAAGTACTTATCCAGTTATGTAGAATATTATATTAGTGTATGTCAACTTTGAAAAGTAAACGGCACATTTGTATTATAAACAAATTTATTATAGCCATTGGAAAGTAATGTAAAAAAAACGGAGTTCCTGATATATCAACGCTGTTTCAAGCATTCTGGTCGACTGACGTAGCTCTTTAATAATATTAAAGATTCAGCATTATATCAGTTTACAACAATGTTTGTACTGTACAACTTAAAAGAAAAACGAGGAAAATAAGATAGTAAAAAGCCTGGAAGTTAATATCCGGGATGTGTGTATACATAAAAAAAAAGTTAAAACATACTGGTATAACTGAAAGTGACTCCCACTCAGCTTTTCTATTGTAGTATAACAAAGTTATACCACATAATATTATATTGGGTAAATATCTTGTTTATGTTCACAATTTTTTGTAACTTTAATGTTAAGCAAGCTGACGGCCTGCCTGAAGGTAAATGGTAAATGTCACCTATATACATGATCAGCAGTACAGATATCACGATATCATGTGACGCCTGTGATAGCATTCATGCGTTGTCATTCCGTAGGACAGGTTTCATACTTCCATACTCTGTAATTTTACTGACTACAAAGCAAGCTGCTCGGCGTTTGGAATAGGTGAGACAGAGAAATCCACGCAGATGGCTTTGTAGAAAAGGGTACTTGGATAATATTGATTTTATATAGATGGTATAATAACATTTCTTTACAGAACAAAACTACATCGTATCTTTGTATGCTAGGAGTGAGGAAGGTTGCTACGGTTCCTCGGGGAAGGATTCTGGCTCGGCAACGTGCACGTGACTCAACTAATGTTGTAAGTGTAGGTACATAGTTATAAAACATAGTGGTCAAATAATATGATTCTCTAATACAAGGAAATTTAATTCATTCAAGATGATTTACAGTCCAATAAAGAGAATGAAAGAGTATAAATAGAGTTATCGTTATATGAATAATTAAAATAAAGTGTCAAATGGTATCTAATATGCGTAGATATTACCAATGGAAACATCGTTGATTATACGTAAACATATTCAATGTACAACGAGTTTATCGATGAACACAATGAGTTGCAACACCTCCAAAGTACTGCATTGCGGTACAACCTATAAATAATAATCATTAATTATTCATCTGTTTTGAATCATTCGCGCGTAACATACAATAAAATATCCTTGCAAACTTCAATAATACCACTCGCCTATCTGAGTGGAAGTTCTAATATTGCGTCAGACAGTTTCGAGCTGTGGCCGGAGTTCAGCAATGAAGACTTACTGCCCTTGTTGTTACACCAACACTTTCTTATAAGAATATATCGCTACGTCTCGAACTTTCTCCGCCAACTTTGAAACGTTTTCAGTGATACGATTCTGCGAACTTGTATTAGCTGGAAATTGCTGAGAATATGTTGCTGGTATATTTTATGGGCGTGCATACGAAATGCTCACTTCCTTGTCTGCTCGATATGCATGAAGTCAGTCGCTTAATAAAGTGGCATAAGAGATAGAATAAATAACGATGTATTCGACTGAACGATGAGTTCATCCAATTATCTTAGAGTAAGAAAAGTACTTGTAGATGTTTAATGTCAAAGGTTATATCGGAGAATTGTCATTCTTTTATTCTGGATTGTGAGTGGGTTGCTGGAAAACTTAGCTCAGATTGCTATAACAGGTAATTGTTAAAAATATACTCAACTAAAATTGTGTTATTGCGACATATTTAGCTGCCAAATAAACATGATTAAAATGTTTACGAATATATACTATTACCTATACATATTAGCGTGTAGTTATCGTGCACGTATGTTAGGAGATACGATGATTGTAAAAGAAAATATTATATCTCAAGATAATATAATTACGTTTACACACAAAATATACCCACAGATTATTACGTTTTATCAGGTTTCAAATATATATCAGGTTAAAATAAAAAAATATAAAGTTATTATTTTCTTTTTATCTGTCGATAAAGTTAACTTGTAATCAGTTGAGTAGGAACTGGCGGTACCTGTACTTTATCTATTTATAACATTTATGCCATATATAGGCGCGAGCGAATTCATTCAATGAAAACTTAATAATGTATTGCATATTCTACCACGTCGTTATAGATTTATAGTCACTGCATATTTATAAATTGTATGCAAAGCAATATTTTAATTCAATATATGTAATTAACTTTGATAAAGTGACGTCAATATAACGTAAATTCGAAACTGTTGCGGTAACGCAAATAATTTAGTTTGGGACGCCATCCCAAAGCTGATTGGCAGGCGTTCCAGTGAAGGTTCGGTCGGCTTCGGATACCGAAGTACCAGAACAAAAGTTGTTTACCTTGAGTCCCGCCGTTCCCTTCAAATCAGCACGAATTCGAGATGTTGACAATACTCAATCAAGCGAAATTCATTTGTAAGGAATTCCACGATGAAACGAAACACCAATCTTCTAAACATTAAATCGCTTTGAGTAAACACTTAAATACAGGTACTTAACAGATATTGGAGATTTAATAAAACGTTTTAGGGAGAAATGAGGCGTAAAATAGAGTTCCCTCAGAAGATTAGTCCCTTTTGTCGCGCGGCTGGAGCGAGCGAGGAAATCAGTAGGAAATTGACCAGGACACGTAGCCACCGCAGCGCTGTGGAATCCGAGATATGAACAGTTATAATCTGAGAAATATATCAGCGCTATACCGCTAGTAGGTGGTGAGTTGACATGTTTATTTGCAATGCGTAATATCCAAATGCAAATTGAATTTATCGAGGGAATGTTGTATTTGCGTACTTTATCATCGTTGTTTAAAATTATTTATCATTGAATTAAATTAAAGTATAATCAAATACAGATAAAATGCGTATCGAGGTGTCAAGAGTCATGCGTGAAATGAGTTATGAACTTGTTTGTAGCAAGAGTGTAGCTTATTAGCCTAAATATTCGCCACGAGATTATTTACAGCATAGGTAATTGCCAGTTATTTTCAATTGAAGTAGAGATCCAAATCCAAATAGACAGAAAAGATAGTGATAAAAATTTTGACGTGCATAAGTGACAAAAAAATGTTCTACATATGCCGTCTGCACATTTTAACTTTGAATTCATTAATTTTTGTTTAAAGTAATGTGATTGATTGATTTATAATACTTATTAGTCTGAGAATAACAAAGAGAACTAATGGTCTCTTATACTATGCGTAAGGGAATTATACAGAGTTATTGATAGCATACCTCATGTGTTGTCCAAAGATTAAGTCTATTTAGGCAGAAATATCTATATTTTTATATCATAATATAATAATTGTACTTTATTAGTGATGTACACTTATGTATCTCACCTTATAGCAATGGTATTTCCGAACCGATATAATATTGACACCTTCAAGAAAAGAGTTTATTCCTTTTAAAAAGTCTGGCAATGCATTTGCAATTCCTCTAGTGTTGTGAGTGCTCATGGGCGGCGGTAATCACTTACCATCAGGTGAGCCGCAAATACGTTTGTCCGCTACGTTATAAAAAATGTATTTATATGTTATACTTGCATAGAATTCACACACTTTGAACGGCAATTTCATATTTGCATGCAGCGTGAATGTTGTTAAAACAGAAATATTTTTCTGAGTAAACGTTACAACTTTAATAAATATACTGCAGTTTCGAGAACTATTTGAACTTAACGAGTTATGAAATTTCATAACAAATTCCAATTTGATTTCCGTGCCTAATTGCACTGCTGTAAAAATTTTAATTTAAATTAGAAAATAGAATTATATTATTGAATTTTGTTGAAGTTTAACATATTATGTTATCTTATTTCATATAGTGATTTTAAAAATGTAAATAAGCAAGTTAGTACATGTAATTTATACTAAAAAATATATTCGTTCAAGATATGGCGACCATATAAATATAAATAAATTATTATAGGTATCAATCATGACGGTTGTGAATCGGAATGTGAATTTATATTTTCTATAAAAATATTTGTTTTCTCTAAACATTTTTTAAGATTAAAAAAATAATATTAAATTAGTGGCCACAATATATGGCAATTGTAAATAAATAAGTGATAAAAACAAAAAAAGATTCATACAAGATCTTAATAATCCTGACTAATAGTGTAAATGGGGATGTACTTTGTTTCTTAAATATATTCTTAAAACAATAGCACTTATTAAAACAGCACTAGTCGTGAGAGATGAATGGACAAAGTCGGTCTGAAAGTAAGAGTTATTCCTAAATTTTTGACAAAATATTTAAACTATATAAAGACGATTGTTGGCCTACGATTTTTCTTCAGATAAGTACACTTAAAAATAAACAATACGAATAAAAATAACATTAAAAGTCTTACCTTTAAAAAATATTTTATTTATAACTCAACATTATATCAGATTCCTATATAAAAATATTTATTCTCAACCATTATTAAAAAAACTTATTACAACTATTGCGCCTTTTTATCCTCAGTTTCTTCATCATAATTCTTTGGTTGTTCACCTGGTTTCAAAAGACGACCGACGATGTCATATTTTTCTGGAAAATAATATACATATTTATTTTGTATAATTCGAATAACAAATAAGCTAATGTTCCTTCTGATTAAAGTACTAATCATCGCTTATATAATATTTGATAGTATAATATTGGATTAACACAAAAATTATAGACTTTAGAAAATCGACTCTAAAGTTTTAGTATATAAAATATCATTTTAAAAAAATGTGTTTATCCAGTATTGTACTATGAACGATATCCCAGACACGGATATCGTTCATAGTACAATACTCATAGTCTAATGCTTTGCCATTTCTAATGAGAAGTTGACCGTATAATTTCACTACCATAACTCACTTTTTACGCTGGAACACAACAAGGCATAAGGTTTAAAGAGATGAGGCAGTGATTTTCTGCCGAGGTTTTCTCACGAGACTACACCATAGAGTTTTTCTAGAAGGGTATATTAATATATTAACATGCAACACCCCTGGTATTTTAGGCGTCCATAGGCTACGGTAACAATTTACCATCAGATGGGCCGTATGCTTGTTTGCCACCATAGTAGTATAAAAAATGTAAAATGGTTTGATACTCGAGAGAGCAAGCCAACCACTGTCTCTTAGATTAAAATTGTTTATACTCGTATATCATTGTTTCCATTATTGAAACACCAGTCAAAAATATAAATGGACACAAAAAGCTTTTTGACAGTTTATAACTTTTAGATTTATAAATAGAGATAAATAAAAACCAGTAAAACCGTAGAGAATAATACTCATAAGAAAATAAAAAGTAATACATATATTAGATTTACCTCTAAACTGCTCCTCCCATTCTTTGGCTGAGGCTACCTCATCTGCGGATAAATCGCTTACATCATCCCAGTCTTTGTCGCTTGATGCCACCTGTCCAGTAGCTAGACCACGTGTAGCATCTTTTCCTGCGAAGGCTGCGTATGGACCACCTGGAAATAGTGATTACAAATTGGGTATTATAAAAGTTGGGAGGGAAGAGAAAACTTTTCATTTAAAAAAATCATTAACAAGATTGTTAGTGTATATTTTTAAAAGAAAAGTTGTTTTGCAAACAAATATACTTTTTATTTTATTAATTCAATTGTATGTTGCTATTACATTATTTAGTATAAGTTTGTTACTGTCTAAGCCACTACAATAATATATACTAAAATATACATGTTATGAAGAAGTATTTTATTTCCATGACAAGCATAAAATAATAAAGTTTTACATAAGAATCTGACACCAATAGTAGTTTAAGATACGGCATAAGTAATATACATCCTTATCTGTTATTTGATAATAACAATGTTTATATGATAGAAAATATGTAGACTTTTGTCGTAGGCTAGTTATACTGCCCTATTATAATATAGGGATAAGAGGTAGATATCAATTAAAAGAAAGGTTTTTGTTTAAATTTTTACAACTAAAAGAAAGATTTTTGTTTATATTTTCTGATTGATTTCCCAGTGAAGGAAATACCGATGTCAAATCAAAATTTAATCCGTAATATAGCTGTAGATTCACCCTAATCACGTTATATTCAAATATACTGAGCGAAATGAAGGCAAGTCAAGTGTTGCATTCACCACGACATACAGTTGATATTGTCTCTTATTACCCTATCTGGAATTACTGTCGCGGCGGAATATATGTAGGTTTATAAATCGTACATGGATTGACTGATTTATAAAGCTGCTGATGAAGTAAAAATAGGTTTATAAGTAATCCGCCTGGCTACATCCTACATCCGTACGGTGTACATGTATTATACATGTAAACATTCTTGAGTCGCTCTATCTATTGCTAAAAACTGCATTAAAATCCGTTACGTAGATTAAAAGATCATAGCGAACAGACAACGGAAGCGACTTAATTTTATACTATGTAAAGATGACTTAGGACATTATTAGCCACATAGATAATTTATAATCTCGTATTTATTAACACATGAAATCAATAATCCAAAAAAGCAATAAATTTTATACCTAACAATACCTAATAACAATTGAATATAATATACGTACGCGTATTTCTTATGCCGTATCTCCTACTATAATAACATTGTTAATATATCACATTCGTGGTTGTTACATGTGTATAACAACAATGGCGTCTTATGTAATAGAGTAATTCAAGGCTAGCTAATTTTGATGACATGTGTGACATTAATATATGCCATACAGTCTAAATCTTCTTATGTATACAATTTTCTTATTGCAATGTTAGTTACCATACTCCTCTAAAACAGATTGACCGATTTTTATGAAATTTTATATGCATATTTGAGAATCGGGTACTATCTATTTTTCATATTCCTAAGTGATAAGAGTGGTCCACCTATAACTTTTTTTTTAAATTTTTAGGTCAAAACATTTTTTTTACCCTCAGCGATTTCAATTTATATGGCAAAACAACGTTTGCTAGGTCAGCTAGTAGTTTTATAAAAACGTTTACCAGTGTAGTAGTTTACACATACATACATACATTACAAGCACAATAATGACATATCCATGTGTATCTATATGTTTATCTAACTTATCGTATTAATGTTAGCATTTATAAAATATATTAATATTTTTACTCAATGAAACTCAAGGAGCAGGTACCGGCAGATAACACCTTAGATTAAAAGTTTTATTCTACTTTACGTGGTTACCTAATAGTAACTTAAATACTAGGTCACTCACAACTCTGCATTATCTGTGTCGTCACTATCTATTGCTGGATATACTATTATATATTCTAGAACGGTACTAAAATACCTGTCTCACTTGAAAATCTTCAATACCTATTGCACTGAAAGCCCTATTGAAATCGGTAACTGCAAACATTCACAAATGGTACGGTATAATGTATATGTCGTGACCAGATAGCAGAATTGATTCTATCATAATCTAGTCGACCATTTCATAAAGTGGTGAAATGGTGGTCTTTCATGCAATATTACACTGTTTATTGACGGCTAGCTGTTATAGATAAAATAGTCTTCGTTAGTGTTTGTAATACAATCTGTATTTACATAAAAAAATGTTAATAATCGTTCATCCCTAGACGTCAAAAGATTTTATTAGATAAGCTGGAATAATCGTTGGTGCCTAGATTCTAGACGTTAAAACGTTTTACCAGATGTAGCTGCAAAAATCATCTGCCTGGGTACCTCAATCTCACATATTTCAGCCATCAAGTTTGCTTTGTAAGCTGTGTTTTCGATTAGGTAGTTCATTTACAGAATAAAAGGCATGACATCTTCGTTCTATGGATTGGAAACGCATGAGTGGTTATAATAACGTGATATCAGTGCTTCATGGAACGTACAGGCGGCGATTATCGCTTACTACCAAGTGGCATATTTGCCATACTAATTACAATTACAAATGGAACATATAAACAAAATAACAGACACACGATGATGATGATGTTGTTTGACCTTTACAAATATAGAACGTTTGACAACACAAACAAATATGTAGTTGTAGTGTGTGACACAGGACAGGGCTATTTCTTAATATGGTTAAATATTGGAAGGTCGCGTCGTAAAATAGTTTTTTCTATTATTCACCATTTTGCGCCGTCCGCGTTATTAGTATGTTATTTACTTAGACTTTATGTTTTTTTCGTCTTTTTAATGTAACCGGTATGGCAAATTAGCTAACTATGATTAGTGGCAAGTCGCCGAAATACATAAACATCAGTACGGACATCGCCTCGATATATACAGGACTAAGATGTCATGCCTACATACTATGTAAATATATATGTAAACAATCGGACGGACGGAGCCCTGGACTTAAAATGGGATAAAAATTGATTCAGAAAGTATAGTGAGTTTTATTCTTGGTAAATAGATTTTGAATATTTTTTTCCATTAATACTACAGTTCTAAAAATGTAAACAAAATTCTATGATTTCACCATGACATAATATTTACAAAACACTCGTTATATGTTAATAGCTACTCAGTTAATTGAATATAATTATAATTCAATGCTCTTAGCGTTTACCGTGATTATACCTATATTTCCTACAAATTATTATAATAAGACATAAAGCAAGATAAAGGTTGTACAAAGAATCGCACGCTAGAAACTTCTCCACTAATATAACGATATAAGAATATACTTGGACTAAACTATCTCTGTCTAGAACTATTGTATGTATTTTAGAAAATACTTGATTAGTTGACTTGTGAATTTGAATTAGGTACTTGACTGGATACTTACTGGGTTCGATTTAGATTAAATTTTGATTTATATGTACTAATAGTAAACTCCATATCTATGTTTTTATACAACTATTTACTAAAAATTTTATACAATGGTGTCGAACAAATATATCGCCAATCAATGATTACTATAGTCGACTTTTTAGTGGTGGACGATTCCTAAAAACTATCTTCCTGATAGGATAGCCTATCAGGAATCCACTATTAGTACTGACAGGAAGTTCAAACCCGATCATGTACTTTTCTTTTCCAAAAGAAATCTAAATTAAGTGGCCTGAGTCAAGATTCGAATCCCTGCTGGTATTCTTAAACTAAATTCATATCCGTTAGCCAGAATTTGGCCTTTAGCAGTTTCATAAGACCTTCTGCGAGTTTCAAGTGCTCTTTTTACACTTTTGGTTTTCATTTTATAATTCTAGTATTATTGGCGCATATCACACTACGGTACGGTAATTAATGGGCCCTGAGGGAATCTTATACTACCGAATATGTAGGTTCAAAATATATAGTTTTAGAATTTTACATACAACGTCGTTTGAAACGAAACTGTAGTCTGCTATCAAGATTCCTACGCTATAACAAAATAATTGAAAAACTGTTGATGTTATTCAAAATGCGTCAATAAATAGTTTTATATGAATAGGCTGATCTGTATTCTGATTGTATAATATTATAGAAAACCTTAAAAGCGCTGATATAACCGATTTAATAGGCAATTCTCGTTTAAGCAAGAGAATCTCTAAATGGGTAATAATTGAAATGGTTAGCCATTACCTATGACTTCCAAACAAATAACGATGATATCACCCGTGTGTTGTTATTCACTATTCTTACCATAACTTCGCTTAGATTTAGAAATTTTAGTGCATTGGGTGCACCATTCCATTATCATTCATAAAAAAACATAGTAGGTGTATCAACTGTACGTTTAATTTTAGGTTATTGGTACGTGTATATATTCCATGCGTTTAAACAGGGGTCACCTATATTATGTATATAATGATTTAAATGTAAATCGATATCGAGCCTATCTTAATATGTGAATACATATTTACAAAATAAAATGCATATTCAAGTATCTGCAATACATACATTTTTGTATCCTTCAAGTTAGCAATATCTTTTATTTTTAAAAACTGTATATATAGGAATAATTTTTATACTCAATACACCTTTAATAATTTTTTAGAATATTTGTGTAAGAGCCATTGTTTAGTATTTGTCTTATCGAGTATTGTGTTCGCTTGACATTGTTTGATGGATCATAAAACGATAGCATAACGTTAGACGCCATGTTGCGACTATAAACATAAACCGGTTGTGTTCAGAAGGTCAAAATGTGCTGAAGCAATGTGCCGGCCGGGTGATTGTTTCTCTCTCGTACATTGTGATGTTCTGACTGCGTGAAGGAGATGGGTATATGGATAGTAAAGATTGCGTCGGAGTTGTCCGCACTCATGCATAGTAATTAAGCAGACTGTGAGCACAGATAAAAATATTATTATGAATACAAAAACGAGATTACGTTTTAGTAACTGTACAAAATTTAAAGCAATAATAATTTGTAGATAATATTGCCGGTTGTATTGGTTTATCGTAGTTTTTGTGTCAATAAATGATTGTGAGTGAGTGTGATTTATTTTAAATTTATATAAAGTTATATTACAAATACAGTCAAATAAGTATTCTTGGCGTGCAATTAAAGTATCAAAATAATCATGCTGATGGCACTAATGATATTGTTTTCAATGAGAAACCACGTCACTGACTTAACAGTTTTCACTAGTCATTGTAACCCAACCAAAATGAAATGTCACTCACCTGGTCCATAAAACCTTTTTCCTTTGGTGACATCGAAAATAATAGTGTTAACAGCTAGCAAAACTCTTCCATCAGGTGCAGTGCCATCATACTGCTTCAGTTCAGCAACTGTTAAATCCTTACGTATCTTTGGCAGTGGCGGTGGCGGAGGTGGCACATCTATGTCCGATTCGAATTTCGACTGTAAAATCTTGTAGATAAGGTACACTATAAAAGCCAAGAGAACCAGGTTTATGGGACTGGTTAGTTCTGCCCACAGAGAAGTGGCTTCTGCGTCTGACATTTTTTCGAGCGTGTAGAAGCCGCGAGTACTTGAGCCATACTGAGCTCTATTGAGCGCGCCGTTATCAAGACAACGTTAAAAGGTCTGGCGCGGCGTTTATGTCAATTACATATTAACACACTGGCCTCAGTAGACAAAGTAGATACATGTAAGTATCCTCTTCTATATATTTATAATTAGAACAATTTCGAAAACTATAAATTAGAACATTTTGATAATTTCTTTTCAACTCAGAACTTACTCTGCCTAGTTTTATCACACTTGAAATGAAGATTTTCATTAAATAAACAAATTGTATTTTATTTGTATACTTATATAAAACGGTTTCTAATATAAAAGTTGTAAACTAAGAAATCTGTTATCGCTGAATAGCAGTCGGCTTATAAAATAGGTAGCATTATAAACACAAAAGTGGAATTACATTTCTACAATACTGAATAATAATTATTCGCATAAATTGTGGCCAAAGGTCTTATTGGAAATTTAATGCTTATTATGAATTCATTATGTAATAGGAATGAAAAAGACAATTGGTGCCGGCGATTGCGCAAAATATCGACGACACATAATCTCTTTTGTATGTATCATATTAAATGAAATGAATCAAAGATAGAGATCGGCGCCTGCGGTGCAAGCGCATGTTCCTAAATGTACATTTAGGCACTTGAAAAAGATTATTTAGAATAAAAATTATGCCACTTATAAGGTCTTAAGTAAAAAAGTTTCAATTAGGGCCCAAAAATGTCACAATGTAGTTGCGAAATCTATTTAATTATATAATTTAAGGAAAAAATATACATGTTTCAACGTAAAAGTCAAGTAGGTAAGAGATAATAACACCAAAAAAATTGAAAATTTACTTAAAATTTTTCAAACTGAATTGATTGATTGTACATAGATAGTGAAACATAAAAGATTGATAAAGTAACACAGTGATATTGATGTGATAAATAACAGTAATCATGATGACTGAAAAATTGTAACTTAACTATCTAGCTAGACTAACTTGTAAGCATGAAATAGCAGTATTTAAAGTTGATAATTTTATTATTAATAATAATTGTTTACTATTATTAGTAATATTTTGTGAATGATAATTAGATAATAGTAATATGGTCGATTGTAATGATATATGCTAGCGGAGCTCTAATAAAGTATGCAAGTATGAGGATGAACCGCATCGATTGCTGCGTAATGATCGTCTTACAGATTATATATATATATATATTACATATTTATTTAAAAGAGCAACACACAAGTCTCTTGCTTATTCTTCTTGTGATGAATCTGCATTCCGAATAAGCGGTAGAATAAAAAAACTTGACTATTCAAAAGTGCTTATATTAAGTTTATTTGAATAAAGATTATTTCTATTTCTATTTCTATTGAATGACACATGAATGATATGAATAGAAATATAGTGTGCTATATTTCTATTCTATTTCTATTTCACAAAGTTTTTTGTTGTAGGTCAGATTAAAGTCACGACCTTTCGGTCAGCATCAGTCGATGTAGTAAACTGTTAAACTACGACGTTAAGTATTAATTATATAACTGGAATTGTAAAAAAACTAACGACACATCTCAACATCATCATCAGTACCATTCCAGATTGTTAAAATGTCACAAAATTGTAAATCGCTTACGTAAGCTATTTAGTTAGTTGAAATATAAGAGAACATAAGAGAAATATGATAAATGTAAGAGAGAGGTGCAATTGAATTTGCTTTCCTGAAACCGATTACAATTTTCTTTCCTCCTTGTAAATTACCTTATTTCAATGAAATAAAACATTCATTGAAAATAAAATTTACAGCCGAGTGTGTACAGTGCACTCCCGATATTAAATCATGGCGGTATACTTTATTTTGAGAGAATTATGCGAATATATCAACAATTGTGGTAGCTTCCTATGTGGTATGGCGGCTTGATATAATTTAATTTCTATGTGAATTGAATGATACTGTAGGTCTATTAATATTGTATTTAAATGATTTATCGATAGCTAAATTTGTAAACAGTAATATTCATAAAATATTTATATAGAACGTGCGTTATTTTGTTTAATTTTGCAGTAATATATGTAATATCACAAATAAGAGTATTCTGTGTTGAAACCTGACCAGCGGAAGCGCTATGATCTTCGCCATTAGTGATCAAACTCCGACAGTTATCGGGTATTGTGACACGTGTTTCGTTCTAAACAAGGCATCATCAGGCAATGAATAGAGTTAATGAATAGAGACCTAGTATTGATTGTTCGGTGATCAGACTATATTTGTATTTATTACTAGTTTTGCCCACGGTTTCACCAGCATGAAATTTATAGCCTATATGTTATTCTGATTTATAAGATATATTATTGTAAAGTTTCATTAAAATCCATTCAGTAATTATTGCGTGAAAGAGTAACAAACATCCATAATCTCACTTTCGCGTTTATAATATAAAATAAGATACACCTCATGAACGGGGAACGATTGTCATCACTTTCATATGTGGCTATACAAGTCACACACACATATATACGAGTATATATATGTGTGTGACTTGACATCCATCACCTGTATAGTAGTTTGTATTTTTCATCATAATTAGGTGACAGACATATGTAGTACTTTTGGTGATAGTAGGTATATTTAGGCTACCTAACGCTTATGTCACTTATAATGCTATGACGTCATAACCTTCAGACTCTATCTGATTCTGTAAATATAAGTAAAATATTTATGACGTATTTATAGAACAGAAGGCATGATCATCTGACTTTCCTTAATCATCATCGCTCCAAAGTTTTCCTTTCTTATTTATGATCCTCGTAAGTTTTTGTTCCATCGATATCCATTTCCACCATCTCCATATTCACTCCCTTTCTGCATATATATTTACATATATTATAGAAATAATAACTATAAATCGTATAATGTCTATATAAAAGAATGGATAAAAGATATTCAGCAAATTTCATAATTTGATCACAAGATTAATTAAGTAGGAATATAACATATAAGTACTTGCTTAATTTATGTTAATATCTTTTTTCTAAATTACAGACAGTAAGACCAATATTTGTGTTTGTTTTCTGTAAAATTTATTTTCTCTTCTCTTCTTAGTATATTTAAACTGAAATATTGCAGTTTTCATTTATATATTCTAATGAACAGGGTTCATTCAATATTATCTAGAAATTTCCATAACCGTTCGACGGCTGACGTCTGGATAAAATTTTAATATAATGAATAATATATTGTAAAGTGTTTGTTCATGTTCAAGAATTGAAATTTCATTGTATATATTACTCGTCTTTCAATATAAAGGTTTGTTTACTTGTGTTTTTTGTCTTAAATACCTTTGTCTGAATATTTCTATGTTTACATAACACCTGCATAATTCTAAGTTATAGATCAGACAATTACAGATTTTTTTTATTTTTTCTATCACATCATTTCCAATTGACGTAGTGGTCACACTTACAACCTGGTACGAACTCACGAACAGTGCGGATTCAGAGGAGCTTCCTCCAACTAATACTCTGGTTGTCAAATGAACTACCACTACTACAGCATGTGCTTTTCAAAAACGGTATATTAAGGATCGGCAACGGGAAGCTAACTACCCGGTTTTTGGTATTGGAATGGTACACCCTCCTGCGCTGACTGTGGAGGATACCAAAATGAGAACGAAATCAGGCGAGTTAGCCTTTTATGATAATTTCATGAGAAATTAACCAGGATGGTTTTCACGGGTACCATATGGTGGTCAATTTGACAATCTCCTTCCCCACTATATATAATTATAATTAGTAATATGGAATTATATTCTATTCTGAAAGTAGGTATTCGCCGGTAATACAAATGGCAATTTCGTTATAAAAAGAAAATGATGTCATGTAATTTATGCCATCGCTGTAAATTTGTCATAGCAATAGGAACTTATCAGATTGCTCTTCAATGCAACCGTCGTAGAGGTCGACGTGATATCGTACATTCCTACGTAGCCGTGAAGGTATATTATCAATGTTATAAGTATATAATATATTGTAATAGGTATAGTAATACTTAAATAATTTATGATGTCTCATCTCAACGTCAAACTTATATACTCTCTATGTATTTATAAACTTATTTATCTGTCTGCGTTGTGTTATCTTTTCCACCACAGATAATGCCTCGGGCAGTCTTAACATAGCCCTCACATAGTTTACGGCATTTAAATGAGAAAATTCATAGAAATACCTTAAGTTTATTACTAAAGTATTTTTAATAAGCAGATGTTATGTTATTAAATAGGTTCTTTTTACGTTACATTCTCGAAAACATGTTCTAAAATATAATGATTATTAGAAATATTTGCCTATGATTTGTAACAAACAAATCTCAACAATTTTATCTAAAGCAAAGGCATAAAATATAATCTATATTTAGGTTATTTATAGATAACGAAAGTGCTGTTATTTTTTCTATTTTTAAATGAAGATAAAACCGTAAAAAATGCTTACATAAAAACGTATTTGGAATTTAAATTAGTGGTCAGTATTTTTAAAATAGGTATAGGTACCCTGAAAATAAATATCACTTCTTATCTCAGAGCAAGTAAAACGTCATGACGAGTATGACATATAATTAAAGTGAACTCAAAAAAACATGCTTAAAATATTTACGTGTTAGTGTCTAAAAGGATATTCAATTCAATAATTTAAGAGATTCTTGATAGTAGTTAACAACGTATTATTTTTTTAATTCAAATTTGTTGTCATAAATAGGTTTGATATTACCTACTAGAATAATAATTTGATTCAAAAATTAATTTATCATCTTGTTAATAACATTTCAGCGCTGATTAATAATATCTTAATACAATTTAAATATCCAATATCTCTGCGACATTACGTCAAAAAAAAAATGACAAAACTTATGTAATTATAATGACTTTGCGTTTGTTGTACGTCGTATTCCCTCTTGATTTTTTGTTGGTCCGAGATTCCTATATGAGGGCGTTGGTTGGGACTAATCTCTTTCATTGACAGGCTATCGATCGTTAGTCGGGAGTATCGAGGTCG